CTGGGTCCGGAGGCCATACAGCAGCCACTAGCAGAGTTGACATCTGTGGCCCTGTTGAAAAGGAAAGCTACATGGTTGCCTTGGGTTTCATCAGCTACCTGGGACTATGTTGGTGTCTAGGGGTCATGCTACATTCCAGGCCATACAGATCTAAATGGCTTGTACTGCTACCTGATGCCATGGTGACATCCAGGCTGGAGCTATAGCAGAGGGCCATGACTGAGTCCGGGGCCCTATAGCAGCCAGGGTTTTTGTTGACATCCAAGGTTCCTATGGCTGTTGAAAACCATGTGGATGCATGAGATCTGTGGCCATGTTAGTGTCTGAGGACCATGTTGCCTCTGGGGCCATGCAGATCTGAATGGTGTTCACTGCCACTTGGGGCCATGGTGACATTCAGTCTTGGATGCTGCCAAGCACCGTGTCTGGGTCTGTTGTCCCGCTGTAGCTGGGGACATGCTTCCAACAAAGGTTACATGGAAGCCCAGGGTCAGGGCCAAAACCTGTGCCCTGTTGGTGTGGGGGATGGGGCATGCTGTCACCAGAGCCATCCTGATCCAGATAGTCTGTGTTTCCACCAGGAGCCAGGATGTCATCCCAGCCCAATTGCTGCTGAGGACCATGTCTGGGTCTGTGGTCCTGCTGCAACTGGGGTCTGCAGTGTTGATGTCTGTAGCCCATGTCTCCTCAGGGGGCCATGGGAATCATGGGTGATGGAGTCAGAGGCCATGCTGAGCCAGCTCTGCCCTTCTCTGGCCCTAGGATAGCTTGCTCTGCTCCTCACTGGACATTGCATTAAGAGAGCTGGCCCGACCCTCATGGCAGAGCTGCCCCCCCTCCCCTTGTGCTCAGCAGAGAGGGCCCCACCCCTCACCACCTGGAGGGGAGAGTTCACCTTGATGGCATGGTCATAGGGGACCTGGCTCCGCCCCTTGCCTGAGGGTGGTGGCCTGATGGCCTGGAATGACTAGCTCAGCTACCACCCAGGCCCACAGCTGGGCCTGGGGTTGGCTCAGCCTTACATCTACCCCATCCAGGACCTGCTGGAGCTTGTGAAGGGACTGGTCCTGTGGAATGATAACATCAATACCTCCATTACTGGGAGAGGCCACAGGGTATCCAAGAGGAGTTCCGGTGAGGATCCAGGGATGATGGTGTACCAGAAACCAGAGGCCTTGAACCAGACCAGGGACTCATGGCAATGAACATTGGCTAGTAAAGCTGATTGGACAAAAGGCTATATACTGTGTGACACACCGAGGCTCCCAAGGCCACCAGGACAAATGAAGAGGTGTTGGAGAGACAGGATAGATGGAGCACTGAAGAGGGTATTTTTGTTGTTGTTGTTGTTTTGTTTATTTCTTTTTGTTTGTTTGTTTGTTTGCCCCCTTGGTTGCTTGTTTTGCCTTGGTTTGATTTTACTCTTTTTTTGTTTGTTTGTTTGTTTTCATTGGTGGGAGGCTACTAAAGGGGGACGGGAGAATATGAAGGGACCGGGAGGTGAGTGGAATTGGGGTGCATGCTGTGAAATTCCCAAAGATTCAATAAAGAAACTTTGTTAAATTAAAAAAAGAAGCAGTATTTCTTGAGGCTTGCGATCTGTCAATATATGGCACCTGACTTCCACATGCTCCCAGTCACATAAGTGACACTGAACTCACATGATGTGAAACTTTCTTGCCACTGTTCAATCGTTCTAAGGTCAGACTTTGAATTTCTTCTAGTGTCTGATCAGAGCTTCCACTGGGATAGTGTTAGTGGATTCAGTCTGGAGCTGAAGGCTGCTCTGTGCAGGTCTCCTCTGGCTGGCCCGTCCCCTGCCTTCTCTCTCTCTGTCCAGATCTTTCACATTTTTCAGTCCTGTTCTTGGTTGTTTGAAACAGTCTCACTATACAGTCTCGGCTGACCTCGACTTCAGTAAGTCCACCACGTTGTCCTCGGACTCGTAGAGGTCTGCTGGTCTGGCCTCTGGAATGGAAAGGCATTTGCCACCATGTCCAGCGTATTCTCACTCTTTTTTTTCTTTAGTTATTCTTCTCTCATGTCCTACATCCTGACTACAGTTTCCCCTCCCTCCTCTCCTCCCAGTTACCTCCCCACCCTATCCACTCTCACCCAGATCCACTTCTCCTCTGTTCCCCTTCAGAAAGGACAGGCATCCCAGGGATACCAACTAAATATGGCATATCACGTACAACAAGACCAGGCACATTTCCCTAATATCAAGGCTGAAAGAGACAACCCAGTAGGAGGAAAAGGGTCCCAAAAGCAGGCAAAAGGGTCAGAAACAGCCCCTGTTCCCACTGTTAGTTGTCTACAAGAACACCAAGCTACACAACCATAACATTTAGGCAGAGGACCTACGTCAGATCCATGCAGGCTCCCTGGTTGTCGGTTTAGTCTCTGTGAGCCCCTAAAGTCCAGGTTAGTTGATTCTGCGGGCCATTTTCTTGTGATGCCCTTGACCCCTCTGGCTCGTACACTCCTTCCTCCTCCTCTTCAGCAGGATTTCTGAGCTCTGCCTCATGTTTGCCTGTGGGTCTCTGCATCTGCCCCCATCAGTGCTGGGTGAAGCCTCTCTCCTGATGACGATGATAATGCTAGGCTTCAGTCTAGGAGGAGAGCAGCCATGTCATTGACTTTTTTGTATTGCAGGTCATGTACGTTTCTATCCTAGGTCTCTGGGCTATCCTGCCTCTGGTTCCTGGTCCTCCAGGCAGCGTCAGGTGCAGGCTCCTTCATGTGGCATGGGTCTCAAGTTGGACCATACGTTGGCCGCTCCCAGAAGTTCTGCCCCACATTTACCCCAGCACATCTTGCAGGCAGGGCAGAGTGTAGGTCAAAGGCTCTGTGGCTGGGTTAGTGTCCCCATCCCTCCACTGGAAGCCTTTCCTGGTTACAGAAGGTGGTTGGTTCAGACTCCGTATCCCACATTCCTAGGACTCTCTGTTTGTGGTGTTGTTGGCTGCACTGGTTACCACATGGAAAGGTCACAGTCACGACAGAACCTGATGGTGCTTTTTAGAGCTTTATTAGGAGGGAAAGGGGGAAGAAAGATGGATCCAGGTCTGTGGGGTGAGCAGAGCAGAACAGAGCAGAGGGCAGAGAGGGAACAGAGAACACAGAGAGAGAGGGTAGGGGTCCATGTCTGGCATTTTAAGACAGGGATTGTGTGGCCATGCTACGGGTATGTAATTGCTAGTGTTGATAATGTAAGATGCAAGACCCCCGAACTTCACATGTACAGGATCCTAACACTCTTCCCCAGGATAACCCTAGTAGATTCCTGGGAGTTTGTTTCCATTTCGTTGCACTAGGTTTCTATCTCACCCCTGAAGACCAGCCCAGTTCCAGTTGTCTCTCCCACCTGATCCCTCCTGTTCCCATACACACACGTTCCCAGGCACCTAGGAAATCTATTCTTTTTCGCCTCTCCAGGGAGATCCATGTATCCCCTCTTGAGTCTTTCTTGTTAGTTAGCTTCTCTGGGTCTATGGATTGTAGCATGATTATCCTTTGCTTTGCAACTTATGTCAAATGACTGAGAATCACTTAAAGAAATGTTCAGTATCCTTAGCCATCAAGGAAATGCAAATCAAAATGACCCCGAGATTCCATCTTTCACCTGTCAAAATGGCTAAGGTAAAAAACACAAGGGACAGCTCATGCTGGCAAAGATGTGGAGCAAGTGGAACAGTCCTCCCTTGCTGGTGGGAGTGCAAACTTCCTACAGCCACTTTGGAAGTCAGTGTGGCAGTTTCTCAGAAAACTGGGAATCAATCTGCCTCAAGACCCAGCTATACCACTCTTGGGGATATACCCAAAGAATTCTCAATCATACCACAAGGACACTTACTCAACCATGTTCATAGCAGCTTTATTCCTAATAGTCAGAAATGGAACAACCTAGATGCCCCTCAACAGAAGAATGGATAAAGAAAATGTGATACATTTACACAATGGAGTATTAGTCAGCAATTAAAAACAATGACCTCATGAAATTCTCAGGCAAATGCACAGAACTAGAAAAAAATCATCTTGAGTCAGGTAACCCAGACCCAGAAAGACAAACATGGTATGTACTCACCCATAAGTGGATATTACCTTTAAAGTAAAGGATAATGTTATTCTCACTCTTGTATTTTCTTCTGCTTAACACGCTCCTTTCCACCATGACACTCGGTCACATCCTTGAAGTGCTGTTGGTATAAAAAGCCTCATTCCCAAAGGGTGTTTATGTGTTGGCTTTCCTCTGAGGACCTACCACTGTGGGTGTTTTACTTCTTTTTGTCACCCTTTGCATCAGGTGGGCTTTCCTCAGGCTACAAGAAAATTAAGCCACAGGGCAAAGACAATTGCCTATTTTTTTCACTAATTCGAAGTTTAGCTGAGTCTGTGGCCCCCAGGGACTTGGTAACCAAATGAGGTAAGGTAAACTGCACATCAGGTTTCTTGCATACTAAGGCTAACAGTGAATGGGTGGTAGCAATGAGAATTAGGGGGTTCTATGATAACGCAGGACTGCTCGCCATCATAGGAGCTCCAGCTTAAATGACCAATGTTGAACATGGCTCAGATGTGACCTACTCACAGGACCTATGTCCCAGGCACCCTACAAGACTTCTAAGTGAATTTCTTCCTGGAGCCACACCCCTTCAAGAACACTAACTTGCCAAACTGTCGCTTAGTCACATGAACCCCACCACTACTGCTGCCACCACCACAGACCCTGTTCAGTACCATCCAACCACTTATCGGCCCGTCTTCGTGCTGAGTGCACATTGGATTTTGTTTGTGCACCCAGGGACACCTGTCTCCCACAGCACCTATGCCAGAGCTCTGGTCTTCCCAGGAAATATTGCAATAATATCTTTCCAACCATTTTTTGACTAGCCCAGTGTAGTAGAACATTATTTTAAGGTGGTTTTTTTTTTTTTTTTTTTTTTTTTGTGTGTGTGTGTGTGTGTGTGTGTGTGTGTGTGTGTGTTGCATTTGTTTAACTCTGTGAAGCTCTATTACTGTGCCTGTATTAAAAAGGATAGGTAGGGCAAGCAGGCAGAGAGAATATATAGAAGGAGAATCCTGGGAGGGCCGATCTAGGAGCCAGAGAAGGAGGAGGACATCAGGGACCAGCCACCCAGCTACACAGCAAACCCCGGAGTAAGCGTAAGATTTATAGAAAAAGGAAGCTGGCAAGAAACAAGCCAAACTAAGGCCAGGCATTCATAATTATGAATAACCTTCCATGTGTGATTTATTGGGGAGTAGGTGGCGGGCCCCCAAAAGAGTAAAACAACAAAACAAACAAACAAACAACCCAGCATTCACAGGGCAGTACATTTCCATGATGGTCCTATGGTATGGGCATAATGAGTAGAAGGATCCATGTTTCCCCCTTCCGTGCCTTCCATTGGCCAGTGGGGCATTGTGAGCACATGCAGGCCCTCATTGGTTGGTGGGTGGAACAATGCCAGCTGGTTCCCAGGTTCTCTGGAGAGGTTGTGGACCAAAATCCTGCCCAGCTGCTGAGGTGGTAGGATGAGCCTGGGAGTCCTGAGGGCTCCCCAGTAGCCATCTGGTACCATCTCCCAGGAATGAGGCAGAAAATCAGGAGATAACACCATGGGGGTCACAAGTTCCAGGCCTTCATGCTGCTATTACAGGGAAAGCCCCGACTGTGGTATCATCAGCAGGCTGTACCAAAGCATAGCTTACTTCTTGCAGTGGAAGATTGATTCTGTTGAAAGAAACTGGGAACATCTGGAAGGTACTCCTCGGGCACCCTTGGTGCCCAAACTTCACTGCAGGAGGCACCTCAGAAAGGCTCTCCTCAGTTGTGAGCACGGGGAGGGGGAAGAGGGGGGCAAAAGATCAGTAGAGGTCTGCAGCTGTCCTCAGTGGCTGTTGACTGAAAGGATGTCCCCAGATACCCGTGAGTTAGGTGAACATTGAACCATGTACCAGACCCTCTTGGTGCACCTGTGCCAGAAGCATTTTGGCCAGTTCACACCAGCTGGGACAGAAAAGGTCCCCGAGAGCCTTTCTTCTACTTCTGGGAGCAGGAAAGCACCCACATTTGATCGTGGATTCGCATTCAGCCTTGGTTCCCATCCTGGCTTGTATTTGAGGCAAGAAGGGAGTCAGTCCCAGTTCTTTGCCAAGTGGGGGAGAGCAGGGGCATGATTTAATGATGATCACTTTGTTTCTGCAACTCGAATCTCACTTTTAGTGTACACTCAAGCAGAATGGGTGAAGACCTGTGCGTGGGTGGGAATCGAGGACAATGTAAGAAGCTTTGCTGAGGTGAATGGCATCCAAGCTCTGAAGTCATTGGAACTTGTGTCTGCTGTTTCTACGTGCAAAGCATGTGCTCAATATTCATGAGCAATCCTTCAAGGGAAACCCCAGTCTTGCCATGCCCATCCTTCAGCCTTTTGGGTGTGAGGGCAGGAGGGTCAGAAGTTTGATGCCAACCTTAGCTGCATATTGAATGAGCCCTGGGCCTGTCTAGGGCCATGGTGTGAGCCTTGGCCTCAAGAAACCCAATCCATTCCATGCATTGTCTGGATGGAGGGCTGGGCTGGAGCCTAAGGTCTTCTGTATGATAGGAAGTCACTGTGCAACTGAACTTCAACTGGGTCCTTGCCTCACATTGCAATTCTGACTCAAGGTCGCACTGTGTTGCCCAGGATGGGCTGTGGCTTGATTTATAGCTTAGGAAGGCCTTGAACCTTTGATTCTGCTCTGTCATTCTCCCAAGTAGCTGGCTTTACAGACTTGTGCCCACAGGCCTATCTCTGATGAGTCCTTAAACTCTCCACGGGCTGTTTCTCACTGTGGTGACTTATTAGACAACACTTTACAGTAATTGTGGTCCTGGAAAGAATGTCCACTCATGGACCTTGAACTCTAAGGTGTACAGGACACTCACAGTTGTATGAGGTTGACCTGTTTGTACCTGTTACTGTGCACAACAGAAATCAGGAGACATAATTGCACAACATGGTCAAAGAGGACAAGAAAAGTACTGGGGACAGACCATCAATGAAGAACACTGCGGTTATAACCAAGGCTATCTAGTTTCCAACTCACGCCTTAACCAGGGTCCTCCTGTGTAGAGCATGGCAAAGCCAGGATTTGAACCTGGACTTTCTGCCTGCAGAGGTCCTCCTCATGCTTCCAGCCCCTTGCACATGGGCTCCTCAAACTAGAAGCGTTCTGTTTGAAGAAGGACGTGTTTGTGTACCATGTCATCTTGGGGGAGGATTCTTTGGAGTGGGATTTTGAATCTGAGATTAATTCATGGTACCTGCCCTGTCCACATCCACAGGGGAACCCAACACCAAGATTGTGAAGGGTACTGTGACAAGCTGTGGGGACCACTATGGCTGCATAGAGGACCGTGTCTTTTTCAGCATCGATGCTATGATCGGCCCTTTGTGTCTGCGAGTTGGAGATAAAGTCCTTGCATTTGTGGAGGAAGATCCACTATCATATGACTTGAGAGCGACCGAAGTAAGCTTGGCATAGGTTGGGAAGACTCTTTTCCCATGGAGCCTTCAACCTTGCTATTGCCCTTTATCTAATATAAACTAAGCTCTCCAGTGCCCATATAGTAGTGGCTGTCATGAAATTCAAAGTCCCCTGTAGCTGCAGGCTCTTCTTTGCTTCTCTCTCTCTCTCTCTTTGTGTGTATGTGAAAGAGAGAGAGAGACAGAGAGAGAGAGAGAGAGAGAGAGAGAGAGAGAGAGAGAGAGAGAGAGAGAGAACAAGTATGGGGTGGTGGGGGTGTGTCACTCTACTGCCTAGGTGTCCAGGTACTCCTGGAATCCTGCACCCTCAGTCTGTGGAGCATGATGTCTATGCTACCATACCCACCCCCGAGTTCTATGTTTTACATTGTAAAATCCTATGTTGTCCTAGTGTTCAAACAGAAGGATCAACAGTGATAAGCATTAGACACAACAGCATCTTGCAACTGTGTTTTGTCAGGTAAAATATGTGTGTTCAAGGATGCACTCACAAAAGTGGAAGTGTTATCTCAAATGCTGTGTGTGTTTGTCTTTCAGAAAACACTTACTGAGGTAACACTGACAATCCACTGGCTTCTCCCATTGGGGCTGTGAGATCCCTGAGTTGTAAAGTTTAGAGAGTCATGAACTATAGCACAGAGAAGAGATTTGATGAAATTTCCTGCTAACTTGGCCCCACTAATTGATCTCCTAGCACCAGACCGTCTCTTTCACAGTACTTGCAAGGGAGGGCTCTGAACATCCAAAGCCTTGCAAATCTTAGAAGGGAAAAGCAGCCTGAAAATTCTCTTGGGAGCTGGTGGAAGTCTTCAGGAGAATGCATCCATTTTTATTTTCTTACAGCCACTGATGAATCAGGCACATTGTTACTGTTTTCATAGCAAGCAAATTAGGACTCTTAAGAAAAGGAACACACGAAGGCTTCGTGGCCCATTGTCCCGTCACCACCTTTTTGACCTTTTGACAATCAGTGTTAAGTACAGCTCTTCTTGCCCATGTGTTCAGTAGGAATACACAGGGACTCTTACACTAATACCTAACTCACTCATGTATTACGGTCCTTTTTCCTATCAGAGTTTATTTACATCTGAACATTCAACAAGACTGGGGTCAACTATGTACACACACAGAAGAAGGGTGAATATCTCACTGTTTTCCCTTCCAACAAAGTGGAGAAACCTTTGTGCCTTTAATGTATTGAAAGGCTGCCTCTACGGTCCTCACAAACAACTGAATCTTTCTGCTTTCCCTGTTGTGTTAAGGGAATGGGAATTGTGATAATGGGTCCTGGACTTGAGGTTTCTGGTAGGATCATTGGGCACTATGGCTATCAAGTTGTGTGGCATCTGGGCACAGACAGGTCTGTGGTGCAGTGGATCTTCTACCTAGAGACTAACAGGGTGGTAGTGAATAGACAAGTTCCTGGTACTTCATTCCTCGAGAAAGCCAATTTGAGGGAAATAATCATGGAATTGATAATGACAGCTGGAAAGAGCCCAGTGGAGAAAGACTTCCCAATGAGCCAAGCTGTTTGCAACAAAGGAGGATGTCTTAAATCTGGAATCTTCGATTCCCTCAGGGCCTTTCCTAGCTCAGCCCTTCCACAGGCAGTGGTTTAGCCATCCACGCTTCCAGTTTGTTTTTTGATCATGTTGTTATTGCTGCTTCCCCGTCTTGTAGGTATGTGTTTTAGTCGAAGATGACAGGCCTAGAGAACCCTACTCCAAGATCCATGAAGTATCCATGTGTGTTTCCCAAGTGAGGGAAGATAATATCTGCCTAGCGGATGAATACTACTTCTATCTGGACAGCATTTCTAAAGGTTCGATTTATATGTTAAAGACGTGTCACGTTTAACACTTTGAGGGATTAGTGCTGACATTGGTTTGGCTGCAGTGCACTCAGCCGCACTCAGGGATTGTTTGTTATTTGTGATGGGTCTTGGGCACTGAAAGTAAAGTGTAATGCAGCTTTGAGCAGCAATGTTCATAAACATCACACTATCATTTACTAGGTACTAGGTATCATTCATTAGGTGAATGCAGAGAGTAAAATGTGGACAAAATTTTCATTCATGTGGGTATTTAACTCTGATAGCAAAATTATTACAAGTGCATACATATCTGTACATTTTTTTTTTGTTTTTCGAGATAGGGTTTCTCTGTGTAGCTTTGCACCTTTCCTGGGACTCGCTTGGTAGCCCAGGGTGGCCTCGAACACACAGAGATCCACCTGGCTCTGCCTCCCGAGTGCTGGGATTAAAGGCGTGCGCCACCACCGCCCGGCCACATATCTGTACATTTTTTAACATTTCTGTTTTTTAAATTGTGTGTGTGTGTGTGTGTGTGCATGTGTTTTCATCTGTGTACATGAGTACAGTTGCCTACAGAGTTGAGAAGAGAAGAGAGTGTCGGATCCCCTGGACCTGGAGTTACAGGTGTTTCTGAGCCACAGAGAAAGTATTTTCCAAAATATTAAGATGTGCTGTGGTCAGAAAGATGGAGCAGGTGGTTAAGAGCTCACCCTTGTCTGCAGAAACCCTGACTCTGGTTCCTAGCACCCCTGTGTATATGCAGACAGGTAGAGAGATAGAGAGACAGCGTGAGGGATAAAATGAGAGCGGGAAGAAAGCAAGAGAGGAGGAGAGAAATGAGATAGGAGAGAAAGAGGGAGTGAGAGAGGAAGGAAAAGATTTGAGGAGGGAAATAGCGAGAGGCATGTAGAGAGAGGGACTGAGAGAGGGAGACAGAAAGGCAAAGAGAGAGCAGGACAGAGAGGGAAGAAGAGAGGAGAGGCTTAGGGGTGTAGAGAGAGGAGATGGGAGAGTGAGCCAAGGAGAGGAAGAGAGTGACAGAGGAAAAGAGGAGGGAATGAGAGATACGGGGGGGGGGAAGAGAATAGGGGGGAGAGCTGGAGAGAGAGAAGGGAGAGATAGGGACAGAGGGAAAGTGAGAGGGGGAGAGACAGAGATGGAGAGAGACAAAGGGAAAGAGAAATGGGGAAGTAAAGAGGGAGGAGAGAGAAAAATAGAGAGTGAAGGGCCTGGAGAGATGGCTCAGAGGTTAAGAGCACCAACTGCTCTTCCAGAGGTCCTGAGTTCAATTCCCAGCACCCACATGGTGGCTCACAACCATCTCTAATGAGATCTGGTGCCCTCTTCTGTACACATAATCAATAAATAAATCTTTAAAAAACAAAAGAGAATGAAGGAGATAGATAATGGGGGAGGGGAGGGCAAGAGAGACATGGGAGAGAGGGAGAGAGAGGCAGTGAGGAGGAGGGAGGGAGAGAGAATGAAGGGGAGAGAGTATGGGAAGGAGGAAGGGAGCAGGGGGCAAGAAAGGGATAGAGGAGACAGAGAAAGGGAGAGTGGGAGAAATGGGAGACAGGAAGGGAGGGAGAGGGAGGGAGATGGAGATAGAAGGAATGAGAGTAAGGATAGGAAAGAAAGAGGCAGAGAGAAGGGGAGACAGGGAATGAGAGAGGAAGAGACAGATGGGGTGAGAGAGATGGAGAGAGAAGTGAAAGAGGAAGAGAGAGCAGAGGCAGGGGGAGAGACAGAGAGGCTTGGAGGGGAGGGTCAGAGGGCGAGATCAGGGGAGAGAGACGGACAGAGAAAGGGAGAGATGGGTAAGGAGAGAGGGAGAGACAGGGAGGGAGAGGGATGTAGGGGGAGGAAGAGGAAGAGGGACTGATGGAGGAAGAGAGGAATACACAGGAAGTGAGAGGGAGGAAAGACGTGGAGGCAGAAAGCCACAGAGTGGGTGAGAGGAAGGCAAGAGAGAGAGACGGAGAGACATAAGGAGGAAGAAAGCAGGAAGGAGGGTGGTAGGAGTGGAGAGGGACAGAGGGAGTAGAGAGAGGGAGGGTGAGAGATGGAGGGAGAGCAAAGAGGGAAAGAGGTGGAGGGAGAGGTACAAGGAGAGGGAGGGAGGGAGAGGTACAGTACGGGACAGAGAAAAGTGAAAAGCAGAAGAGAGAATGGGAAGGAGAGGGAGGGAGAGAGGGACACGGGATAGAGAGAGAGAAAACGAGGAGTGAGGAGACACAGAATGGGAGGGAGAAAAGAGAGAGGGGAGAAAGAGAGAGAGAATTAGTTTGTCTGAAGACAGTCTGGAATACTCGAGACTCTGTCTCAAAAAGAGGACTCTGAATGTGACCAATTCGGCAGTAAATCCTCCAGTCTGCCCAATGAAATGGGTTGTGATGTCATTGTCCATTTGCTCACTTGACTCGGCTAAGGGGATGGGCAAAACCAATGTCTAACACTTACCAGTTTCTGAGCCTAGCAGTGGTGGCAAATGCCTTTAATCCCAGCAGTCGGGAGGCAGAGGCAGGTAGATCTGTGAGTTCGAGGTCAGCCTGCTCTACAAAGGGAGTTCCAGGACAGCAGAGAAGCCCTGTCTCAAAAATCCAACCAATCAAACAAACCCAAAAGAATTATCAATTTCCATTCTGGCTGCAAGATTTATAAGCTGTCTGCACTTTACACCTAATACTCACTTTATCATGGTATTACAAGTCAATGTAACCAGTGAAATTTTACTTGACCAAAGTTAAAATGTAATTGCTTTTATCCAGAGCCTTCGAAAGATGAGACTGGAGCTAGATGGTAGAATTTTCAACTCGATTTTCTTTTAGCTATCTTAGGTTTTATGCCTTATGAAGGGGATTGGTTAGATATTGAGTATTCTTTGGAGCAAGAATCATCAAAGATCACAATACACTCATTGAAGGCCACGAAGTGTAGGCGCCTGCAAGAGGTAACTGCTTTTCGATATTGTTGGCTTATTTCAAAGCCTCCTTTGGTGGTATTTGGGACTAGCTGTCTGTCGGGTGTGCTGGGAAATAGGAACATATGGAAGAATTATCTCCTTGGCCCATTTATTTAAATGGTAGGACTTTGTAAAGAAGTAGCTAAAGGTAACAGAGAACATATATACACATCCTTCAATTCTGAGTCACAGGGCTTACCACGAGAACTGTCATGTGGAACATTCTAAACACAACAGGAAGAAAGATGAGCAGTCCAGAGAACATTGCTGGAAAAGTTGGAATGCAAAGTGGGGCTGGGGCTGGGACTGGGGCTGTGGCTGTGGTTCAGCTAGCCTGAAATGAGTCTCCAACAAGGTACAGATGACGTCATGTGCTTGAAGAGTGCCGTGGTGGGGGGGGGGGTGTAATAGTCCATTTCCTGCTGTTTTTCCTTTTCAGTCAATCCTTGATCTGTCCACATTAACCACAGGGGCTAATGGCCACTGATGACTAATATTTAGGACATGGTCTCTCACCAGCAGGACAGACCACCAGAAGAGTCTCCTCTTTAATTGGTGTGAGGTTGGAGTCGGGGAAGGAAGTGGGTGACACACACCCCAGTGTTGGCAGTGTAGCAGGTAGGACAGGACACAGCGACACAGTGGGTCAACAAGTGTTTGGAGCTAGAGTGTGGAGGGACAGAGGCTGTCCAGGGACCCAGTTTTCCCACACTCACTGCCACGCTTTCTCTTGACAGGTCTGCGTGACTAGTATCCACAAACGACAAGGAGTGCTGAATCACACCATCTTTTTCACCTTCCACTCACTGAAGTGCCCCGTGGGCTACACCCCTCTTGTAGGCCATGTTGTCAACGTGGTGGTAGTGCAGAGCATCCGGCCCAACTACAACTGGAGAGCAGTCTCCATGACGCCAGTGGACAAGCTGTACAGGCTAGGGTCCTGAGAATCCCTCTTCCAGTTACTCCTACAAGAAGTGGAGGGCCTCAGTTAATACACACGCTTATGTTTTGTTATGGCCTCTCTACTGCTTAGATCTATCTCCAGGGAGCATGCGCTCACTGTGGGCAGGGGCTTTATCCCTTGGAACACATGCTCAAGCTGCCTCTTGCTGGCAGCAATATCAGCTTATGACCTGAGCTGAAGTCCCCACTTCTGAGGCCAGCAGTGGACCGTCCGCTGCCAGTGGGGCTGGTTTGTCCAGTAACTAACATGTAGGGCAAAGCATTTGACTGGAAGCACCACGGCCAGATGCTGCATGGGTTTAATTTGGAGTCTCCTCGTGGGGTGTGTTGGTCATTTGCCCAGAGTATTTTTCACCTCCTACACCTACTCAGTTGGTTACATTTATTGTTTGCCTGTGGCCGTCTTCCCATGCTAGACTCGAAGTGTTCTAATCATAGCAAACTCTCCAATGGAAGTTCAGAAGGACAGAGTTCGCATTATTCATTTTAATTAATGAATGGTAAGAGCAGCAGTAGTGTTTACCCATGGTTAACTGACCATCCAGTCCCCAGGAATAGAATTGTTCAGCATCCCATTAGCACATAGTTGTCTCTTCACACAAAAATACCGGTCTGGCCCCTAGCTTTCTGGGACCCTGCGATCCTGCCCAGTGGGTAGGACATCAGGGACCTGGTGGGATGATTAGGACTGAGATAGTGGAGCTCAGGGACTCAGGTGTATGCTACTGCTGGCAGATGGCACCAACGACACACCACCAGGGCTGCTGGGACTTCTGTTCTTCTCAAGGTGCTCTGACCCCTAGGGAGCTCTTGGTGACAACCAATGAGTGTCACCTGAACCCCTACATCCAGGCTGGACGGAACTCTGAGTGCCCCAGGACGCCTCCTATTTGGGAAATGATGGGTCCTCTTATCGCATCCATTTCTTCACTGGCTTCCGCAGGGCCTCTGGCCTTTCTCACTCATGACACCCATTCTTCTATCCACCCAGTCTTCAACCTTCACCCCCAGGCTCCTGGCTTCTTCCGCATCCTCCAGCTGTGTTCCCCAGGAGCCTATCCTCCTCTTGACTCCTTGCCCTCCTATGTGACTTCCTAACCCTGTCTACAGCATCATTCCCTGAACTTCCTGCCCTACTTGGCACCCTACTGCCCTGCTGTTCTCCAGCCAATGTCCCCCTTGTCACTCCTGTTGTCATCACCTAGTCTCCTAGGTGATCTTACCCCCCCCTGCCCCGCCCTGCCCTGCCCACCTAGCCTGCACTCTGGCCCTCCCTTGACAGCCTAACTTTCAAAGTCTTCTGACAACTTCTCCCAGCTTCCTGCTCTCCCTTAAATCCTTCTACCTTCCAGCGGAGCCCCATCCTATGAGTCTCCTGGCCTCCCCCATGTAAAGCCTGCATTCCTCCTAAGCCTACAATCCTCTCCACACACCTAAACGTCCTGAAGCCTCCTACACTCACCCTGAACCTGCTCCCAAGCCCCTTCCTGTCCCTTTAACTCTGGCGCCTCTCCCAGGGTCTTGCACTCCTCCTGAGCCTTATACCCTGCCCTATCTTCTCCAAACCCCAGTGCCTACTTTCATGATAAACACCCTCCTAGAGTCTCCCCAGACTGATTCCCAGCTCCCTACTTTCTTACCCTTCCTTGAACAGCATTCATAATCCTCAGACTCCTAACATCTAGCTCAAACACCTCTCCTGAAGCCAGCTTCCATTCCTCCTTTGGCCTCCTGCCCTCCCATATAAACCTGACTACCTCCCGCACTGATCCCCATGACCCTCTTTACCTCTCTCCAACTTTCTTTCCTCCCCCAGGCAGGCACCATTAGTTTGAGACTCCTGTCTTCCTCTGAGATCAGCTGTACTCTTACTCTCTCATGCTCACATCATACCCAGAGGCTTCTGCTCTCCTGAGTCAACTTCCGGCCTCCTCCACAGGCTCCTGTACTCCCGGAGTCCTCTGCCCTCTGCCAGACACTGGCTTTTTACAGAAAACTTCTATCTGTCAGCTGTACCCAGCACAAGGCTCCCAGCTCCCTTCCTTCCCAGGCTCCTCCACCCAAGCACTCTGAGACTCATCTTTGTGCCCCCCCTCACCCCTCTGGCCTTTCACTTCCTGTGCACCTTTGTCTCTCTGGGCTCATGCTAATCCTCCTGTCCTCTCCCCAAAGGCCCTCACTTTCTGGAGCCCCCAGCCTTCACCCTCAGCCTTCTAACTTTCTAGTCTAGATCCTGTGGTCCTCTACAGACTCCCCCTGTTCACTAGTCTCCTAACATCCCCCTTGAACCTTGTGACCACCACCTCAGAGCCCTCTGCCTTTCCCAGAATTCTGTCATTCTCAGCCTCCAGCTGTCCCACCTAGGCATGTGTCCTCCCATTATATCAAGAATGCCCGAACCTCCTGAGGGCCTATCTAGCCAAACAGTAGGCCTGCCTGCTCCCACAGCCTGCAGCCCCACACCTAGTTCTCACAACAGATTTGCCCTTCAACTGAGCCTTTACTGAAATTTTCCCTCCCAGACTCCCTGCCTCTTCTCCAGCCTTCTGTGTTCCCTCTCAGCCTCTTGATACCACCAGCCTCCTAACCTATACTCTGGCATTCCTCCTTAGGCTTTCCAAAGCTTCCTGAAACTTCCTGCCCTCCACACCACCTCTAACCTTCCCAGTGAGCCTCTTTCCCACCCTCCTCCACCCTCTAGTATCCCATGCTCCAAGTGAGTTTCCTTCAGTACTTTATGTTCCCCCCATCTTGAGAGTAAAGTAGAGGCTTTGCAGGGTCCCCACCCAAAGTTCCCAGCTGGTCAGGGTCCAGGTTGCTACAGCCTCCTGAGTCTCCTGTTGTCGCCCCGCCCTCTTCGCCAGCCCATCCCCCACTCTGGTGACAGCTCCTGCTTTGCTCCCCTCCCCAGCCCGCTGTCTCCTTTGTTTTCACGTTGTCCTGGTCTCCAGGCTTCTGCCCTGCCCTAGTCTCCCCGCGGTCCCGAGCCTGCTGCCTTAGTCACCAGTCCTCTCCTACACGTTGTCCTTTCTGCGTTTTGCAAGCTCCCCATGAGCGGCCTGTTTCCTCCGCAAGGTACAGATCCCCCTCAAGATGCTCAGGAGGCTTCTTACTCATCCAGCTCATTACCTCATCCACACGTTTGCTCTGTTTATCACGTCCCCTTCTATCTGAACTTTCCACCCCACGTGAAAGGCAGTTTGGCCTGTGTGAACGTTCTGACAACCAAGTGAAGGGGTATAGCGGCGCTCCTGGCTGGCCATGCCTATTGCATTGTCCGCGGCGGCGGAAGTGAGCGCTGGATGCCACTGCACAAGAATCAGGAGCCATGGCTGCCTTTTCAGAGCTTTACTGGGAGGAAGGAGGGGGGGGAGGGAGGGAGGGGAGAGAGAGAGAGAGAGAGAGAGAGAGAGAGAGAGAGAGAGAGAGAGAGAGAGAGAGAGAGAGAGAGAGAGAGCGAGAGAGAGAGAGAGAGAGCGAGAGAGCGAGAGAGCGAGAGAGCGAGAGAGCGAGAGAGAGAGAGAGAGAGAGAGAGAGAGAGACAGAGAGAGAGACAGAGACAGAGACAGAGACAGAGACAGAGACAGAGACAGAGACAGAGACAGAGACAGAGACAGAGAGAGAGGACCGCGGACCTCGCAGAGGACAGAGAATAGGGAGAGAGAGTGCGGCCAGGGCAAGTCTGCTTTTCAGGCTGGGATGCTGTGGCAGGCTGATGACGCAATGAGCATAGACTCCTTACACAAAGTGCTTGCCTGGCCCTAGGGGAGACCAGAAGAAGGCATGAGGGCTGCTCCCCAGGACTTTGAAGAGGGCATTGAATTGAACCTGGGTCCCGTAGCGCACACACGTTTTCCTAACTGCTGAGGCCGTTTTCTGGTCCCAGGTTTCCGCTGAGTGTCAGAAGTTTTGGCACTACTCTGAAGCTTTCTTTTCTCTCAGGCTCCTACCTTCCCATGGGCCTTCGGTCCTCCCTCTCAGTGGTCTTCATTTCAGCCATGTCTTCACTTCCTCCTTCCCTCCCCGGCCTCCCGCATACATCCTCCACCTCCTTGACTTTCCTTATGCCTCCTGCTGAATTACACATGTCCTTGTCCTCCATCCTAGCCTTCTCGCCCCTCCTGCAGTCCTACCAGTCATCAAATCACTTCCCAACGCCCTGTGCCTACCTGGCTGGGCTTAGCTTTCTAGCTCTGAAGCCAAGCATCTGACTCCTCCCACCCCAGCTTGCTAGGATGCCCTGTTGCCCTAATGCAACCCTAATCCTGCCTTCTCCTAGACTCTGGCAAAACTTGAGAACTCCACTGGCCACCTTCTTTCTGAACGCCCTGATCCTCCTCTCTGTTGCTGCCCCGTCCTGATAAACTGACCACGCTGTGGCCCTTCTCTGTAGCCCCCTTCCTTCCCTTAGCCTACTCTCCCATGGGCTTCTCTTCTGCTGTATAGCCTCTGCCCTCTTCCCTCTCTGTGCTCCTCCCCATCTATCTCATCCTGAGCCTCATGCCTTACCTTTTGCCCCCCCCCCTCCGCTGAGTGTCCTGCCCTCAAGGGCAGCACTGTGCCCTGGAAGAGCTCTGAAATTGTACCCAGGCTTTGGAGTTCCTCTCAAAAGCCTGCTCTTCCACACAGACTGCTAAGCTCTTAGACACTTGTCCTCCACTGCAGGGACATCCTTTAGCCTAGTACTAGCTCCCTCAAAATCCTGCCTTACTCTACTCCTAGGCACACTCTGGGCTCCTGTCCTGAGCAGAGCCTTGCCATCCTCCGGAGACTTCTCCCCTCCTTTATGGTTCCCCCTTAACCATCCTGATACCTAGATTTTGAACTTACACGAGCCTCTGACCCAAGTCCTTTTTCTTCTCTCCTCCTCTCCAGTCATTTGTTCTCTTGCCCCGAGCCTCCCACCTTTCAACCCAGAAGTTGGCCTTCACCTAGTCAGCTACATTGTCTTCAGTCAACGGACCTCTTTCCATCTTCCATATGCCTGCTTAGTCTCAACCGG